AGCGGTTCACCATCAGAACAGGGAAAGGAAAGAACTCAATTGCCGTGTTAGCTTCCTATCAGAAATACATTCATGTGTCAAAATACCATGATAGCTTCCTATCAAAAACACATTCATCTGTCAAAATACCGTGTTAGCTTCCTATCAAAAATATATTCATGTGTCAAAATACCAGCCCTTGCTTAGTGATAGTGTTGTATGCCTGCCCTTTATAAGCATGGCAGTCAGGTAAAACATAAGTTACAGAAAGTTGGCATGTAATAAAACATATTAGCAATACATTTGTGTGTGTGTGTGTGTGTGTGTGTGTATACATATATATATGTGTGTGTGTGTGTATATATGTGTGTGTGTATATATACACACACACACACAAGTTTTAGGAGGGTGTAACTTTAACCTCCTCCTGTTAAAAAACATTTTCCCTCCCACGTAGGAAAAGAAAATGGTCACATCTGAAACGTAATTATTCAAGCTTCATCAATAGCAACGCATCAGTAGTTTCTAATAGAGGAAAAACAGATCAACCTTGCCTTTTAGAGTATGTCAAATAACACTACAGGCGTCTCTTAAGAACACCCTCAAAGGTTCTACACCTTCTCAGCTCTCCCTATGTTTTGTGGCATTTCCCAATACTCTCTGTTGTTTTTCTAACTCATATCCCTTTGAAATGGAGACAATATTAGCATACCTCTCTAATTAGTTATATTCCAATTCCTTTGTTCACAAGATTCCTTGGAATCGCTGGCTAGAATAAGTTTCCAGCTAGCTTTGGAGTCTGGTAAATGAGGTAGAATTTAGTACTGTTTACTTGGTCTTAATGGGGGCGGGTGGAAGGGTTTCCTTACCATTTTCCTGTCCTTGCAATGCCTGCTGAAGGAAGAGTTTCCAGACTACTCCCTCATAAACTTGTTTTCTCCCTCTGCTTTCTGCTTATCACACATCTGCTTCAACAGGGTATCTAAGCTCACTAGTCAGAGTTAGAACTTCTCATTTTGCTGCAAAGGCTTTCAGGTATATTAAGGAATTTAACAGAATTCAATAACCACAGTATTTGGTAATACATAAACCACACAGAAGTTACACGGATGATTGTATGTTATTATTTTAAAGTACCATCATAAATACTTTACAGCTGTAATATTTCACAAGTCTATAGAATACAGTTAAGAGGTTAGATTTATTGCAAGGCCTTTCAGCAGCTTATTTCCTGACACGCTGCCAGTCCTAGATACGTCATCATCTTAAGACTACACAAACCTCAAGGCAAATTGCTAACTCCGTAAAGCTTATAGCTAGCGCTAGAGGGGCAAACTGTGACTGGATCCTTCTGGGTACTATAATTTGTATTGTTGCTATTGCCATAATGTCTGTCGCTCCATATATTCCAAGTCAGATGTGATCACGGCTGTACAGACAATAACAAGACTACGTTATTTTGGAATAGAAAGCACAGTAGTCAAGGTACCTAGAAGGGAAATACTAGTATATTAACTTTGAATATTTGCATATTTTTATTTCCTGAAGCAGTGGAAAACTTTTAAAGCTGAAAACTATTTGCCTGTAAGGTGCCAAGAGAGGTATAGCCACAATTAAAATACCAATATAGAATTACCTCTGTCAGTAAAACCATGGGATGCTGCATTTTTACATTTGAAGTAATTACATTTAAGTAATTACATTTTCATCTTAGTTGTACAATTCTGAGCACACCAATATAAATCACTGCAATACTTTCATTTATCATGAACACACAGGAAGAGAATTCCTGTATGCTTAGTCCCTGGAACAATACTAACCAAACCACAATGACTAAATCACGTTCAAACAAATGATATATAAATGCATAGTTACTATGTAAATCCCGCTGCTCAATTTAGTTTGTTTGTGGGCTACCAAATCTGCTTCTACGTTTAAGGCTCTAAGTCCCTAAAAAGCATGTTACTACCAAGTATGAAGGTGCTCTTTTACACGCAGAAGATATTGCCTACTTCCAGAAATTTTTGTACAAGCCTAGGCAGACCGAAAGCTAAGCTGGGATCTTATGCAACTGAAGTCTGGGCACACACATCGACGTTGGCCACAACACGGCCTACGGCTCACTACAAATTCATACCAGGGATTGCTGACACAACAGCTCATCATAACCAGATTCCAGCATTGCAGAATAACACAACACACGTATTGTACCTTGATCAAATATTTTTCCCATCTGTCTGCTGTGACAGACTTCCCAATCTTTCTCATCAGTTTCAAGTGAAGCTCCACCAACTCTTTTGGAACTGCAGTATTGAGAGAGAGAGAGAAAAAAAAAAGAAGTTATAAAGGCCGATGTAAACACACTCCAATGCTAAAGACTCATAACTTTGAAACGCTGTAACAAATGGAGAAATTTTAATAAAATGTAACAACTTAAAGTCAGCATAAGAACAATTCCACCACTAGGAAACAAAGGCAGATCAGATTCGTTACATGGGTCTTTTCTTTTAGCTTTACAGCCTTGCCCTTCCTGTGCCCTCCCTTCAATTCAGTAATAAACACGTGAAAAGCCCAGCAGCGTTAAAGTAATAACTGCACAGGAACGATACCACTTAAGACACCTACAGAAATAACACTAAATTTACGGTGGGCAGCACACCTTCAGCCGTCTCTGAAAATCCAAAAGGCGTCTTATGCACCAGGCCTGGAGTATCTCCAAATCCGAGCTATTTTTGGCTGTGTGCACGCTATGAGAGAAGCGTTCTAGAAACTCGGTCCTCACGACTGTAGCTTTGCTGTCTGGTTTTTTCTCCGTTGTAACAGAGGGGCAGAGCAGTTTTCAAGATGCGAGGGGTGAGCGCGGGAGGCTCGAACGCCTGCTGGGCGCAACCGCACCAGCACGCCACCGAGCCAGCGTTTTCCAACCAAATTACGCTTGCAGCCGATTACACACCCCTCGGGTAGGACTTCATCTCGTCTCGCATCTGGGATTTACAAATCAGTCTGGCACCACCAAGCGGCAAACGTGCGCAACATCAAATCTGTCACCTGCAGAGCATCCTGCCTTTTAAAACACGCGGCTGACAAATATTAACGCAACCACACGCGCCCAGCGAAGGCAGCTTTCTGGGTTACTTTCTCAGGAGCTCAGCCAGACCCTTAACATCTGTAACCTGCTGTGGAAAACAAAGAAATAAACTTATTTTTAAAGTTTTTCTTTACAGGTTGTTTGTATACAATTTGATTTTCTGAAAGCATTTTCATCACTCTATGCACACACAATTTAAAAAATTAAAAACCAAGAAATTTTATGATTATTTTTCTGCTGCTCTGCTACTATTACTTTACACACGATAAACAGCTGGAACGCCAAATAAACTTTTTTCTAAATTAGTCACTATAGAGAGAATATTTTTCTACTGCGCTACAGAAGATTTGAGTTTTGGTGTGGGTTTTTTTTTTTTTTTAATTATATTTAAATTGATTTCACCTAACTTGATACACGTCTTTCAATCAAATGCCCTTACATTCAGGTGAACATAATGTGTTTTTAAAACCTGTGCGGTGAAAACACTAGTTTTGTTTCAAAAGCAGATTCTCACTGCAGCCAGCAATCTAATACATACATAAACACGGTCCCATGTTAAATACATGAAGTACCAGCCTGGTACCCATAAACAGGTCTGCTTTAAATGTAGATAACTTTAAGCAACTCAGAATCATCCTGGCTGTTTCCTTTTTATTCCATTTACATTGTTTACCATTACTTTTGCATACTGAAGAAACCTAAGACGTCTCCTCCTTGGTTTTCCTCAAAGTTAGTGCACGCCACAAATTTAAACAACCGTGTGTCTTAAAAGGAACAAAGCCACAAGTCTCAATCCTGCTAGGTGCTGAGCACTTGCAGTGAATGAAATTAAGCACAAAGCACTTCACACACATGAGCAATTCCATTAAAGTCAACTCACAACTAGACTTGGGCTTGTGTTTGTGTTAGGTGGAACGGAGCCAGAGTATTCAGAAACTTACTGGATCAAAGCTTTTTGTTCTGCTTTTTTTTTTTTTTTTTAAATCAGATCACATTTTGTATGGGTGCATACTCATTGGAATCCTATTTTAAAGGAGCATGGATGATTTGTTTAGAAGAATCAAATTCATAGTCGCTCCGAAAAATCCTTGTTAGACTGTTAATCTGGGAAGAGATGGAGAACGTTAACAAGCCAAGAACTGGAAAGTCAACTTTGCACATCCTTGGTCAACACTCAGTCTGATTTCTACTAGTACCTCCTGAAATCTGCCCTCCTCCTCTTTTTTTTCCTTAAACAATTCAGCATTTCAGGTCTTGCAGTTCTAGGAGCTTGAAGGTGTATTGATGCAGTGACTTTTACGAAGAAACTTGACAAAGTATTTCAAATCCACTCTCCATTTATTTAGTACCCTCTCAAGATGTTTTTCATGTATCACAACCATTAATGACCAGGTATCTAGGCTAGCTTGTCATTTCCCTCCAAAGCGCTTCAAGGAATTGCCTGACACTGGAGTGCAAGCTCTCTTCCTTGTTCTAGGGAATGAGATGGGAGTTATGGAGAAGAAAACTGAAGGCCACTTTGCAGGCAGAAAATACAGAGTGTGTGAAGTGCAGACTGACCAACTAGGGTGCCTAAATAAGAGCAGAAGCCTATGAAATTGAGACAATAAATTCTGTGCTGAAGTCAAGATAACTGTGAATAATATATGGATCACACAAAACAGTACACATCTGATCTACAGAAAAATATCAGCTTGGGGAGGAGATGGTAAGAAGGCTAAAGAGTGGTGAGAATCCCATCCATGCCTCAAACATTCATCTGCCAAGGAGCGGAAGTGCACTAGCAAACTAAACTAAACATTTCAGTAGTCTCAATAGCATGTTGAATCTGGACAACTTCTAATCAACTTACTTTTGTTCATAACATAGAGAGAATTCTTGACAAGAGTTGTTGAAGAAAGAAATCAATAGCATCACTTTTACAATATTCTTATAATCCTATTTATAATAATATCGAATATAATATGCAATCAGTATTTTTTTAATCACAATAGCAAAATATCGTCTCCTCTGCACTATTCAAGCGGGGTCTGCATCACACATTTCAGGGACTCATATGATAACCTAATAATATAACAATTTTGCTTTTGCTTAAGTTTCGCCTGATAGAAGAAACAATAAATATTCTTTCTTACATAACGTTGCACTGGACATGGTCCTGGGCAACCTGCTCTAGGGGACACTGCCTGAGCAGAGGGGTTGAACTAGGTGAACTCCCTTCCAACCCCAACTACTCTGAGTCTGTGGTAACAGCCATTCTTCACGAGGCTTTGGCCAAAAGCGTGACAGAACATATACCAAACAACTAAATCGGAATGACAACCCAAAACTTTCATAATCTTTCAAGAGAAAAACAAAGTTTTGCAGTAGCTCTCTAAAATCATGAGATATAGCTCGACAGAATACACTTACTTTAAAAAGTGGAGAAAACCTCAGGGCTCTGTGCGTAGAGCTAATAAGAATAGGAAAAACACTATTTTTAGAAGAAGAAATCCCGGTTTTAAAGACTAATTAAACCATGATGCCATTCCTAGGTATTGAAAAAATAGAGAATTTTCATAGGAAGAAGCCATGAGTTACAAAGACTGAGTCACTGCACATACAGTTACGGAGCTTTTGCTTGAGTTTGGCCAGTTTTCTTGTCCTGCACTTTCCTGGAGGACAAATGCTTTGAATACTGTATTGTACCTGCTCCGGCATTTCAGGGAACTTTCCATACATCAGTGGCACATTTCTAATAACTTTGAGAAAGGCATAAAATTGGAATGGAAGAGAAAAAATAGGAATATATGGGAACCCTCATCATCGGGTTAGAAAAGCTGTAACTTCAAGACCTGCACAACTGTGGATCACAGACCTGGTTGCAGGTACCCGCTAACACATTCCCAAATAACCACAATCTCGTTTCATCTCTACTTATCTTCTGAGTAAAATTTACAACACTCGCACTGAACACACTCCTAAACAGAACCTAAAGAAACAGAGAAGGAAAACAGAAAATGTAGATGATGCACCAAGCTCAGGCTCTGGAGGGAAGATACAGGGAGTTTATTATCACGGAAACAGTTTCAAATAAAAACCTTTGTAGCAGAGCAGGTCTGCAGTGCAGGACATGGAGGGGGTGATCGGAATAATGGCGTACCTAGGATTGGAAGAGAAGTGCAAAGACTGTATCGCCTTCCTCTCCCTCCAAGGATGAAGGGAAAAGCCTTTGTGGGGACTGGGGGGAAGGGAACGAGAAGTAACGTTCTGGGATGCAAAGACTGTTGGCAGTTTTCACGCTTCATGAGCGCAGACAGGTCTTCCCAGTTTTACTAGTAAAACCTTTTTCCATGCTCACTCATTTTGGCAAGTGAAAAACAAAGCGACTCATTGAGATATATAGAGCAAATGTTTCCATTAACAGGTTGCCCTTTTTTGTCTTTCTCCCTTGACAAAAATTACATCTTCATACTATGACTTCACTGTCAAATAAAACCATGCTAAGCAGGCAGACCGCTGAGATCACTGGGACCATTAATAAACTCCCTCCTGTCCATTCTTCTACTAAGCGAAGCTAACTCACAGTAAACTATAGCAGAAAACCTGTGTATTAGCCACTCTGCATGACATGCTGTGCAAAGAGGTTTATGGTAAGCAAATACAAACCAGCTTACACCACATTTACTTTCCTCCACTGTCAGCATGCACTGAGGTGCACTGGTGTCATGTGCAAAGGCAAGAGTATCCATTCGGGTACTTGGTGAAAAGTTGCTAACTACAGCGTAAACTTCCCCTTTACAAACAAGCCGTTATGCACACATTCCCTTAAAAATCAGTTAACTGTGCCCCTTATGAAGGGTAAGAGTGCCCAAGAGACGAGTGACCACGTTTCTATAACGGTTAATATTTTCCTTCTTTTTTCTTTGTGAGTCCGTACTCCCACACACAGGTTGAGGCAGCATAAGTCTTTTTTTTTTTTTTTCTAGATTAGTTTTAACCAAAGATCAGCTCCTGATTTAGCTCATTAAAAGTCTAGTGGAACATTTGGAAAGGGAAAGGGGACAGGACCACTTTCAGTGGCCGCGTTGGTCTATGCCAACATAAATGTGTCTCTCTAGTAACTACCTAACTCGTTCAACTCTACCTCAACTTCTGGGAGGAGGAAAATGGGGAATCCTTACAAGTGGAATGAGATATATATATATATATATTTTTTTTTAAATATATATATATATATAAAAATATGTGTGTGTGTGTGTGTGTGTATATAATATATAAAATATGTGTGTGTGTGTGTGTGTGTGTGTGTGTATATCTCTCCATAGCCTGGAGGGTGCATTAGCCACAAAACATCTAGTAGGAACCAGGCAAGAAGTTATAGTGAACTTCTGAGAATTAATTAAAGTGCTAAAAAGGACACCCATACACATGCAAAGTGCTTGGTATAAAAGAAATTTGAAGTATTTGACCCCTACATTGGTTCAAAATACAAAAAAGCAGGAGTTCCTCTTTCAAAGAACAACCTAAATATCACATCTTCTAGCTGAGTCACTTTGTTATCATCTAACCTCCAAGCCCTGCGTCCATAAAAAAAAGATTGCAGGAAAGCCGGAAAAAAAATGCAACCACTCTGATTCCCAAGCGAACATAAAAAGAGCAATCAGACGAG